TCGGAAAGAGAGTGGCATGAGCTTGCCCGTGTGGTGAACAAAAGTTAGTGATGTTGGGTGTTGTAAATCTCTATCGGTGGAGTGTGGCATTTATGTTGCATTTTGTCGAATCGAGTTGGCATTTGATACTCACATAAACGTTTGAAGTAATGACATAAGCCTTGCTCATTGCGTTACTCAATTGATGATCAAGTCATTGTGATTTATATCATATCCATGTGATAATGAGCAATGTGTTTACGAAGTTGCTTGGGTAAATGATGATCAACCCCAAAGTGGTTGATGGAGAAGCTAGTCTACTTGCACGAAGTAGCATTGTAGTAGCTTTGACTGGATTCTCAATGGTGGTTCATTATGCTAAGCTTATGTTGGTACCTTGTTTCCTTGAGGGTTTGCCCATAAGGTGTTGGGAATGGGTTGTAGCATTCATTTGCTATAGCTCATCTATTGATCCGTTAGCACTTGGAGTAGATTATTGGATGGAGAAGGTGTGAGGTTGATGCATTGACATCGCTAGCACTTGTGTTAGTGGAAGTGGCATTGTTGATTCGAGTGATGAGGAATTTTCCTTAGAGCTTGATTTTCCATGTCATTTTTCTTGTTAGTGTTTTGACTTCACATTGAATCTTGAAGGTGATTGAAGAAGAGTGTTAGTGCAATGTGGATATCCAAAGATGTGGTCTTCGTGATCAAGTTTTAGATATTCATTTAGCACTTTGCGGATGTCGGTGTTGGATATCGGTTAAATGGGCAAAGATGTTCGATGCTTAAGCATATTGTTGGTCATGAGAACTTGTGTTGAGGTGAACCTATGTGAAGTTGTTAGTAGGAGGAAGTTGGTTGAGTCTTGAAAGTTTGCATTCCTGGACTGAGAGTCATTCTTTCTCTAGGATGGGAAATTTTCCACAAATTTTCTTAGATTTTTCCAATGGCTAATCTGTTGATCACTTTGCTCGAAAACCATTCCATTTTCGAAAGCCAGTACAAACTAATGAAGGGAGTGAATCACCACATCAAAGACTCAATGAAATCCAACACTATAGACCAAACGTAACCAAATGATATCGACAAAGGAATTGACATGCTAACATGGAAAAACCACGCCAGCCTAATGACACGATCCTCCGCAACACCATCCGGTAAAGCAAGCCCATCACTGTTAAATCATCATCGAGCAAAGCAAGTGTCAACGGTCCTTGACGAAGTCTACAAGTAATCACTAGTCACAAAGCAACTAACAATCACTCCTCAACTTGCCTTCACAAGACGCAAACACCAACTCTTGTCATCAAGTTATATACTTGCCCAATATGAACGTGATACCCCAGGTACGAGATAAAAATTCATAGACAAGCACAAACTAAATGACCACTCGAATCCAATTCAACCACAATAAGCTCACTAGCACACCTAGTCAATAGCTCTGAGCATGCCTTGAAGAGGCTAGCTATGCATGATCAACACTCAGCCAAAACGAAAGTGAAGACCATGAGATGAACTCATATCGGTACACAACCTCCTCATAGACAAAGCTATAGTACAGGTACCAACATCTTAACCTTAACCAACCAAGTTGGACATCACCATCCTTAGCCAAGGCGCAGGGCCACCAAGACTAAGTATACCAGATACATCAACAGATCAGCATTTGCATAGACTGCGAGAAAAGTTTGAGGAAAGTAACAAAAGTAACTCACTTCCTCTTCCTCATAATTTGCATTGACCAAGTCATCAACCTTATCAACTTCACCATCACTATCTTCCCTTATGACATTAACACAAGACTTTGTCTTATGCTTGTTGGGACATTCCAATGACCTATGTTCTGTCTCTCCACAATAGAAGCAATGACCCACACTATCTGTTCCACTAGGACTAGGTTTCACATGTTACTGCTGCTTGTACCCACCAGGAGGAGGAACAAAGGACTTAGGACTAAAAGAAGTTGTTGGTGGTCGTCAACCACCACCTTTATTAACCTTTGCTTGTGAGCCTCCAAGGTGAAACTTTCCTTCCACCCTCTATTTCTGATCACTTTGTTTATTCCTAGAGTTTTTATTCTTGTCTAAGGTACCAGCATACGGTTGTTGATATTGTTTTATGAGCGAGTGACTAAAGGCAACTTGTTATACTACCTCCTTACACTGCAGATACATTTTTGGCTTAAACTTCAAAATCTCATTACAAAAAAGTGAATTTAAACCTTCCAAAAACTAATTTCAAGCATCTTCATCACTCATATTTGCAATCATAATGCACTTCTAAACAAACGCATTAATGTACTGTATAAGGTCCCCTTGCTGCTTTAATCACCACAGCTTTGCACGAAGTTTTAGACCAAGATCATTTGGCAAGTATTCCTTATAAATACAAGACCATATCTTGGTCCAATTTCTAGTTTGCCCTTTTTCAGCACAAACTTGGCACCACCAAGTTTTGGCATGATCGGTGAGAAAGGATTGTGCACACGCAACTTTCATATGATCATCTACATTTGCCGCTATTAAATAATTTTCGATATTGTAGACCTAATCTTCCAAAACCTGATAGTCCCATATGACTCTAAAATTGGGTGGTTTTGGAAGTTTGAACTTTGAAACTTATGCAACTAAGGGTGGTTGCAGAATTTCATCGTCCTCAGAACTTGAAAAGGAGTTATATTGCTTAAGTTTAGTTGGTTTACTTGCTTTAGTTTCTTTCTTCCTTTTCTTGTTCTCCTTCTTCAATTTGTGAACTTCCCTTTGCAAATTCTCAATTTCAATTTTTTGAGCCGTATGTTGTAGTGTTGCAACATTAGACTCTTCCTCTTTTGACTCAACCTTAGCCTCTTTTGCAACATCTCTAGCAAGAGTTTCCTCCTCCCGATTCACCTATCTTAAGGTTTTAGTATCATCAACACAATTCCTTTTCACCATCTCGCTAGCTACATGCATACCTCTATCAGTAACTGAATATACATATAACATTCTTACTGAATGGTGCAATCTAACTAATCCTACACATGTCACTTTAGATCTACTAGAAAAGTCTTTGCGTATGCAACTTGAGTTAAAAAATCTGACAAAAGTTGTATAGGAATCGTTAAAACAATTCTTCTGATACCAAATGTAATGCACTTGAATTTGGATTCAAACTCCAAGCCCATTATACTACGAAATGAGGGTCCAATACACTCTTAATCTTATAAGCATAAGCTCCCCATATCTAGCATCTACATACAAAATGGTGTCAGATGGTGTTTGGCACAATTTTGGCATACTAATGGTCTAACGCGACAAGGAAGGTACCCCACCGACTAAAGCAATGTAAAAGTTGGGCTTAGACCTAAACCAAACACAAAACAAAGAGTAATACAGCCCAGCAAAAGTCAAATTAACATCTCAGATGGTTAGACATGCATTCCAACCATTATCCCTTGGAACCCCCCACTATATATATACATTTGTATGTAGAGACCTCATATACTATTAAACATGCTTAATTCTAACACAAGAAGTTAATTTATGCACTGGAATTAATATCCTATTATAATAGCTTATGATAATAAAAGTTAAATAATAAAAGTATTTTTTACATTTGTCAATAAATAATAGTACAATTTTCATAATAAAATATATTACCTAAGAAACAGTAAAAAAATTAAAATAAGTTTTTCAGATATTCAAAGAGAAAGAATTTGAAGTTTAAGAAATAAATGAAGCTAGAGACAATGAAGCTAAATAAATGAAGCTATATATGTATGTATGTATGTATTATCTCTGTGTATGTGTGACCATGTTTACATATATTCTATAAATTTTTAAAGAGTAAAACTAGTTTATTTATTTCTCTTAACTTATATATTGATATACTGTAATGTATAGAATTATTCCATTTCTTATTCTAATAATTGTAATTTCTGAAAGTATTGATTTTGAAACTGGAGAAAGTAATGTACTAGGCGAAGGCACTATATATGTTATTTTACAAGGGATTAGAAGTGCCATTGGTAAAATACCAAATGATTTAATTCCACAAAGTCAAAGTTTTCATGGGCATATAATAGCTACACATATAGGTTGAAGACAAACATATATTGGATTTGGTGTTTTCCTTCTAGATACAATTGGAGAGATTTGTGGTGTTGAGTATTATAGAGGAAGAGGAACTCTAGGCTCTAATGTAAGATATTTATTAGAAAATATTTTAGATGAGTCTACTGCTGATATATATAATTTTGCTGCCTCATTTATTGTTATAACTACTGAAAGATTTATTATTTATTATTTTATTAGAAACTACAATAGGCAACATCAAATAGGGCAACAAGTTTTAGTGAAACATACTAAATGCAACATTCTCTCAAGTTTTTTAATAAGTGGTTATACTGATATGTCTCATCAATACTTATTATCAACAAATTTTTTAGTCTCAGAAAATAGAAAAGTATATTTATATTTGAGTTTTGATTGCAACTTAGGTGTATATAAAGAGGATAAACATTTATGGTCTCCAGAAACTTTAATTAAGGGAAATAATTGTATTTTAAGATTACAAGAAGATGGAAACTTAGTTTTATATTCATATAATAAAATTGTTGTTTGGGCTACAAATACTCAATGTAATTATTATAATTGTTATCAAGATGCATATTTAGTCATGCAAAATGATTGTAATTTAGTCTTATATTATGCATATCAAAAAACGTTTAGTAGTAATCCCAAATTCAAACCTGCATGGGATTCAAAATCATTTTGTTGAAATTTGTATTAAATATTTAATATTACTTTTAATTGCCACATTGAAAAATAGCATAAGTCAATTTAAACTATCAGCCTTCAATAAAATAAAATATCTCTTTCCTTTTATATGTTATTAATTCTTCCAGTATCTTTTTTCTCTACTTTTATAATTTTACTAGTAATAAAAATACATAAAAATATTTTTTCCAGGTTTGCAAGCATATAATATATAGTAGCCTAAGAATTCAAGAATAATACAGAAACATTTTTAAATTATTATCAAGAGGACATATTGGACAAGAGCACGTAGGAGGTACCTGAGCTTGGAGCAACATCCACTGCGCAGCTTGCCATTCTCTCACCGCGAGTCACATCGCTATGGATGTTACACGCACCGAGTAGTGCATTGCATACCGCACGGTTTGGCAAATAAGGCATGGCAGACGCAAGCTCCTCAGCCTCACTCAGCTTGCCACTCCGGCCCAAGGCGTCCACCACACCGCAAAACTGCTGTAAGCTCGGATCGATCCAGTGGTCTCGGACCATGAGTCCAAAGATTTCTCGGCAGGCGGCCAGCATCCCTTTGTGGCTGTAGACGGCCAAAACGCTGCTAAATGTGGTTGAGTCTGGTATTACTCCTTCCAGGCTCATGCTCGAGAGGAGATTCAATGCAATCGACTCGACGCCATGCTTGGCATGACCAGCGATGAGAGCGTTCCATGAGACAACGTTCCACTGCGGCATTCGACCGAACCATTGTGCCGCTGTTTGGAGTTTTCCTGTTTGAGCGTAACCCGAGACTAAGAGATTCCATGACGACCAATCTCGCTGGGGAAGCTCGTCAAAAGCGGCTTTTGCTTGGTCGAGCTGATGAGCTTGGACATAGACTGCCACCAATGAGTTCCACGAGATGAAGTCTCGCTGCGGGATTATCTCCAGCGAATGCTTCACGGCGTCAAGCTCTCCTCGGTCCGAGAACCCACCGATCAAGAGATTCCAGGATGCCAGGTTTCTCTCCGGGATCTCATTAAACATTGCCTTGGCATCGTCAAGACGATCGTTCTTGAGGAGAGCCGCAAGCATTCCATTGAAAGAGACCATATCTCGCAGAGGGATCCTGTCAAACATGAACTTTGCTTGATCAAGGAATCCATTTTCAGAGAAGGCAGCAATAAGGTGCGTCCAGGAGATGACATCCGGCTGCTCCATCGCCATGAACATCGAGAGAGCCTCATGGAGGTTTTTCTTCTCGGCGTAAGCCTGGATCATGGTGTTCCATGCCACAGTATTCCGCTGCGGGATCCTGTCAAACAAGCCTCGCGCATCGTCCACATTACCTTGTGTGGCATTTGCAGCCATCATAGAAGTCCAGCTTATGATATCCCGCTCGGGCATGTTGTGGAAGAGCTGTTTCAATTCATGAGTTCTATTATCTTGTCCATACACATTGAGCATTGCATTTTGAGAGATCCTATCTGTGTACGGCATACTATCAAATAGTCTTCTAGCAGAATCATAATGCCCAATCCGGGCAAATGCTGTAAGAACAACAGTCCACGGGACAACATCCCACTTGGGCATCTGATGAAGCACTCGAAGAGCTTCGTCGAGTTTACCAATATCAGCACACGCAGTCACAAGTGCCGTCCAGATAAGAAAGTCCCGGCTTTCCATTCGTAAGAACAAGTTCCAGGATTCGTAGAGATGCCCACATTGGGCATATGCCGCGATCATGAGGCTTGAGGTTGCCAGCGTCTTGTGATCCATCCGGTCAAAGATCTCTTGGGCGCTGCAAAGATCGCCCAGTCGTATGTATCCCTTGATCATGATGTTGGCTGCGACAGCGTCGGCCTCAGGCATTCGATCCAGCAAGAATCGCGCCTGGCGCATGAACCGGGCGTGGCCGCTGTGGGCATACGCCTGGATCATGAGCGTGTAGGAGAAGCGATTTGGGTTGTCGATGGAGTCGAGCACCGATTGTGCGTCTTCGAGGCTGCCACATTTCCCATACATCTCGATGAGGAGATTGGTGAGATACCTGTTTTTGCTGTGGCTTCCTTCGAGAATTCTTGCGTGGATGCGCTTGCCCTCCGCGAGGTCCCGATTGATCCCACAAGATCTCACGGCTCGCGAGAGGTAATGGAGCGTTTCTTCGTCGCGCCATTTCACGGGCATAACATATTCCGTGAAGCCACTGAAAACAGTGGGAACTTCTTAGGTTGACATACCTATGGGACGGCCGCTGGCTTGTGCAGGAGGTTGGCAACGTTTTTCATTCGATAATTCTATGATCCAGGCGTATGTCCAGAATGGTCTAATGCAAGATTCATTTCATTTCTTCCAGCTCATGGTGCTTGATGGCATCAAGCCTGACGAGCTCACTGCATTTGCGGTTCCGAGCACTTAGAGCCGAGGCTTGAGTCCAAGTTATGAGCTCTATGGTTTCATGGCAGATACCATTGCAAGATCTGGAGAGCTGAGCCGGCAGACAGTGTCGCGTGGACAAGGTTGCCTGGAGCTCCAGAGTGATATCCAGTTGGATAGACAAGATTACTCTAAGTTTAGTTTGGGACATTTTTATATTCTTAGACTTCCGCCAGAGAGCTTCCCGCCTTCTTCCCCGCCTTTGTCGTTTAATAATGAAGCAATTCTCAAGGATTACACCACTTTTTTATTTTACTTGAATGATTGTATGAAACGTTAAAATACAAGCTAATACTACATATATATGGATATGGGATAAGGGGGTTGTCAAGAAAATTACTATAATAAAATCTTAGTACTACATATTACTAATTATGAATTTTATTTATTTTTTTAATTTATTTTTATTATCTAGTTTTTTTTCACAAGTACAATCCTCTTATCAAATTGATTATGGTGAGTTAAATGCATTAGATGACGACTCTGTTCGTGCGATTTTAAATGGTATTGGAGGAATGATTGCTTTCATAGCCAATGATAATTATCCAAGAGGTCAAAGACAAGATGGTACAGCTGTATTTGAAAATGACGATGGAACTAGTACAACTATTGCTATTAGTCTTTGGATTTATAGCAGAGTTGAACGATCATTTGCAAAATGTGCAATGAATGCAGCTGGTGGTACTGATCCTGGATCTCTTATAAGAGGTGAGTTAGGTGCACTTTTGGAAGAAGCTTATAGTCAAATAGTAAATGTTGCTGCTTCTTATGTTACTGTTGTTACTGAACATTATGCTTTTCAATATATGATAAGAAATTATATCCCTCGTAGACCTGAATTATTAACTTCAGTTGGTAACATGCTTAAATGTAATATTTTTCTTAGTACATTAATAAGTGGCTATATCAATATGCCACGTCAGTATTTGTCAGAAAATTCTTTTTTAATTTCCCCAAATGGAAAAGCACATTTATATGTAAATAGCATTTGTAATTTAATATTATATTATAAAAATCTTATATTATGGTCTACCAAAACTGCAAATAGAGGTACAAATTGTAAGTTGAGGCTCCAGGAAGATGGTAATCTAGTTCTATATGAAGAAAATGAGCAATCTTTATGGGCATCAAATACAAATTGCAAAACTAAAAATTGTTTTGTAAATTCATATTTAATACTTCAAGATGATTGTAGATTAGTTTTATATGCAAGTTATCAAAAAATATTCCATCTTAAACCATGGATATACCAAATGTGGGCTTCCACAAAAGTTTGCTTGATTTAATAAAATGTTTCTATCAATGCTCCATTATAGGATCCCAGATAAACATATGAAACAATAGAGAGATTCCATGACGACTACAGATGAAGTCTTAATGCTGATGCGGGATTATCTCAAGAATCAGTTGGAAATATTCGTACTCCATTGTCGATTCCAATGTCTCTTAAAACATTGCTTATAAAATGAAAGGGTAAAAGTGGGAATATTCGTAGACATTTTAGGTTAACATAATGCCCTAAAGTTCGCAAAGCCATGGCAGTCCAGGACGCGAGCGCTGCCGAGGACGACAGCGAGGTTCTCTATCTCGCCAAATGCCTCCAGAAGAGCAGCGTCGTCTCTTATGCTGTGTGCGGCCACATTCGATCGCCGCTGATGCTGGAGGTGGTCTTCGGCAAGGTAGGAGCTCCATCTATCTTGGTTTTGAGCTGGAATTTGCGCACAGGAGACCGCCCTGGAGCTTGTCGTGCTCGTCGAAGATGGGAGCGTGCAGCCGGTGTGTGAGCAGAGTGTGTTTGGAATCATCAAGGACATGAAATTGCTCCCTTGGAATGAACATCGTCGAGCTCCTTACTCGCAGGTAAGATAAAATTCTATGCTTTAGAACGATGTACTGTGCTATAGTCTACTGTTAACTAATGTTCCATCTCTCTATCATAGACCTACGGCAAGGACTTACTCGTGCTGCTTTCAGATTCCGGAAAACTCTCCTTCCTGACTTTCAGTGTCGATCTGCACAGGTACCATGGAATTAGAAAAATCAAGGTTTTTTTCGCTCTTCTTACCTGTTTTCTCTTTCTCTTTTACAGGTTTGTGGCTGTCAGTCAAATTCATCTCTCTCATCCCGGGACTTCTCTTCGCGAGCTCGGATGGCTACTTGCTGTCGACTCCAGGTGCGATAAAGTCGAACGTTTTATTTCATAGGAAACCTTTTGTGATACAGATCTCGCGCTGTAGCGGTTTCTGCTATCGAAGATTTGGTAGCAATATTTCCTACCTCTGTTGCAGCTGGGGAGAATGTCGTCGAGAAGGCTAGTGTGTTTTTCTTTCTGGTACTAGTTGCCTGACACCCTTCCTTCAGGCCATAACATATCCAGCACCGGGTAACGTAGCAAATGACGCAGAGTCAACGTATGGATGGGGAACGATATGGAGCATGGCCTTTGTTGCTAGCCCAGAGGAATCCCACCAGCTTTTGCTCGCGGTAATTTTGCATAGGTACACAGAGCCTAGATAATTTTCTGCTCACCAGGATTGAGAGTAACTCGGGAGTGTTCCTTACAGGAAGGGTGCTCTGTCGAACGAACTGCAAGTTCTACTTTGCGACACGAATGAGCGTTCGATACACTTGGGAGCACGGTATCATCCTTCTGGAGAGCCGGCCATCGATTTTCTAACTTATGGTGTCGTGGAGATGCCCGCATTCCTGGGGTTCGTGCTACTGCTTCGGCTCGGTGAGATTGTACTTGTCGACGCAAGGGCCATCGGCACGACGACTTATCCAGCAAACTTAGTGGCATTCAGCTTGCTAGACTTCAGAGATACAGTGGGGGATCCCGAAGAGCGTCCGAGACCTTATTACCGGGTTCCAGATGATGAGTATGGAACCAGAGCCAAGCTCTTTATCAGTGCATGGTGCTGGGAACCAGATAGCAAGGGCCAAGCTAGACTGGCTTTCAGTACAGGGAAAGGAGGTATCGACGTTGTCACGCTACGTCCGGATGCTGCCTCTGGAAGGCCAACTCCTGTTAGAGACTGCCAGTACAAGTGTTCACAGTGTAGGCTTCTTCTCTGGACGAGCGACAAGTTTATGACTGCAATGATAGAGATGGGAGATGGGCATGTTTTAAAGGTGGAAGACAACTTTTCTGACACCTCTAGCTTCAAATTTGGAAACACTAAAGGATCGATAGGCCATGCTTTCACAGTTTGTATCCGTACTGAAGATCAAAATCAAATGAGGTTTTACCCTTTTGTTCCACACTCTACCAATAGAGACTTGCAACACCCAACACTATTAACTTTTTTTTACAACACGGACAAGTTCATACCACTTTTTTTCTGACCAAACTCAAAACTATTTTAACACCAAACTACTCAAGGAGCAATAACAAAGTTCTTTAAAAAAGAATTAAGCATTGCAACCCAAGTCTTTAATTATAAACCTAGACAAAATGGTTTAATGCTTCACCGCTATCCATCCCATGACTCACCACTTGCAAAACCATCATTTCCAACATGCATTAAGATAGGGACTCTTGATTGCATAATGTGAACACGAACAATATGTTAACACCTCATTGCAAATCATTTCTCCAAAAGAGAAGATGATTTACGTGTTTGATTCTTCATCCCTGATGACTCTCTTTCGGTTTCATCTTTGACTAAACCTCAAGCTTGCATTCGCATTGCCTTCAGTCCAATCCAAGAAAAGTTGATAAGAGAGTACGGCAATGATTACTTGAACCAATAGACTAATCTTTATAATCTTGGTTGATCCACTTGTAATCATATCTAGGAAGGATCCACTAGTGCTGTGCTAAACATCTACTGACCAGCCTATTCACCACTCTATGCAAACCTAGGGGAGGTTTACTTTATCCCATGGTACAAGGAATAACTCATGGAACCACCAATAGGCTAATATTAATTTTGTCAACTCTAAGTGTAACCTTGAGTTGCTAATGTGCCTCACTCATGAACCCAAGCGCAAACTCATGCAAAATGGTACACCTCAAATCCATCTTATTAGCTCAAAGTGTAACCAAAATCCATACCTAAGGAACGATTGCAAAGTCTTTGCACCCAAACGTGTACCCACTCGGATCATCATTCTCATTTTTGCATATGCAATGAGACTAGTTGCCCAATTTCATTGGATAGTACTCGCCGAGACTCATCCTCTGATACAAAATGTAGCGCACGTGGTTTTGACCCTTTATCCTATGGTGATTTACCATAGGATAACCACAAAGTGAAACCTAAACCCTCTATATGCCACGTGTTATATGCCATGTGTCACATGCCACGTGTCCAAAGGATAGTGGTGTGGAACCCGAGTTTCAAAGCCTTAGGCCACTAAATGAAGGAACGGTGCCAAACTCCCAACCATGGAGCTAAGAAGTGACGGAATTGAACCACAGAGCAACTCCTGAGCATACAGCCCAAGTGTAGTGCACCTGAATTTGGAGCCTAACTCCAAGCCCATTGTGCTACGAATGAGGGTCCGATTCAATCCCACAAGCACCAGCTCCCCATATCCAGCACCTACACGCAAAATGGTGTCAGACAGAGTCTGGCACAATTTTGGCATACTGGTGGCCTAACGCGAGGAGGAGGGACTTGTCGCGAATGTGACTTCAGGTATCGAAAGTTACCTGTCGGCCAGTCCTTATGGACACTCTTACCTTACTGCCACGATGGTAGGAGGTCGGTATTGCTGGACCCGTTATTAGTCTCCGCCTAAGCTAG